AAAATAATGGTAAAAGGTAATGCTGCGTTTTCTTTCTCTGCACGCGTACCCCAGAACTGTAAAAGCTGTTCAAACAAAATACAAAGCTGTTCAAACCAAAACGCAAAAGAAATGTTATTATTTTGAGGTTCAGAAAGAAGTGAAATATTCCAAATGTGGAACAGTGTAATAAGGCTAATAAAGCTCCTGGAGACCAAGCAGTGTCACGGAGCACGATTGGGTCAAAATGTGATGTTTAACAAAGAAGCATAACTACATGTCTCAAGCATAAAGAGTAAGAAAAGGCACCTGTTTTCCCTTCATTTTGTCAACTCACATTTCATACCTTTACTCCGATTCACATTAGACCGTTTCCACACCTGGGAGCATATTTTTCTTGGGAAACGTGGGAAGCGAATGACTGATTTCTGCCATAACAGCGTCGTAAAAAACCCCAGAGGTCTCCACCCTGCATGATTGACTTTGTTTGCATGGCACTGATTTCCATAGGCCATGTGAACTCAGAGGATTTCCTGGCTAAGTGGCCTCACTTTTAATGCTGTTTTTCTGACCCAGGACTCCATTTGCGTGCACACACACACATATGTGCGCTTCAGGCTCCCACTGGATTGAGATTGTAAAACGGGGTGGTTAGAACATCTTGTCTTTGTCAGTGAGTAGAGTACAGTGCCTCCTGAACTTTATCGCATTTTGTTACAATTCACCAACTAATTTTATTGTGTTCCTTGTGGATTTTATGTGATGGACCAACACAAAGTCAGCCTGGCCGTTCCGCTTGATTCTAATGTCCCTTCACTCTCCCCTTGGCTTTCTCTCATTGACTCGGATTCTTTGGTAATTTAAGATTGCCAAACTAGTAGCTTCTTGTTCAAAACGGCACTAAATAGCAGCAACATTTTCAAGTTCTCCCTTTTCTTTTCCTTACTTGCTCAGGAAAGCTGTTGATCATATGGCTGGCGGTGCTACAAGCACAAGCAATGTTTTAATTCCTAACAGATAGCCATTTGTGACAGCTTTCCTAACAATATGCTATTGTTTGTAATTGTTGTTAATTTGATAAATGTCATGCATTCCTCTCAGCATACATATTTCAATGTTATTCTTAATTTATTTACATTGAAACAGCAATTTATAAACAGAGAGTTGTACATTTTATTCAGGATACATGCATTTCGTATTATGCCAACAAATCTGGCAACATTAAACTCATTTTCAGCATTAAAATGGCCCAGTCAAAGTCTGGAGTTCAGTACATTCAAGTACTCCGTCACATCTGATTGGGTTTGAGCTATTTTGTGAAGACAAATCGGTAACACACCTCAAAAGATTGGTAGCGAGGTCCATAAAGGACTGTATGACGTACACGTGATTTTGGGATCCTTAAAAATATTTCACATGACTCACTTGAACTCACGTAAAGTAAAACCAGGCAGGCGGGCCAGATATAGGAAGTAACTCTGGTAATAAACTCCACGTCCTCTTTATGATCCACTGTAAATCCCATTTAATTGCACTGACGGCAGCAGTAAAATCTTATCAGCTCATAATGGTGGCCTTTCACAGCCATCAACATTTTAATCTTTTTTTTTAATGTTTGTCCAAGTTTATGATTTTCTCCCCCCAAAAAACAAAACAAAAAACCCAAACTGGAAGCCTCACTGGCCCCTCACTCATTAAAACCATAATTCTTTCATTGTGCAACATTTTTATGGCCGTCCCTCACCCCGTGTGATGCAGATTCCAGGATCGTGCTCCCATTTCCTAAAACACCGGGTGATATTTCACTCCTTGCCCCCATCCTGTGCGTAGGCCCATTTTATACAGTCCTGCTCTGACCCATTGTTTTTCCACATTCCAATATATTGCAAGAATGCTGTGTCATTTATTACTAATTGGGTGATGAAACTACGGAAACCGTTAACAGCAGTCCAGCATATTTGTCCAGTGACTTGATCTCTTTAAAAGCCCCGGCCTCGCAATGACATGACCAAAACAACATGTTTCCCCCGCGACTCTTGGATACGTGTCTCGGCCTCGGCGTGTTGACTTCCACTCGGCTTCCTGCACCGGGGAGGTGAGCCTGCCTCCAGGCGAAACGTGAGCCAAACTGAACACATAAATCAAAATACGTCCAACGAGCAGAGCAGATCATTTCTGAGTGGGAGACGAGAAGAAAACTGACCAGACAAGAGCTGTTGTCTGTGAAATGGGTGGTAAATAGCGCCATCTGCTGGCTTTTGTGAAGACTACAAGCAGCTGGATTTTTTTTTTTTAATCATTGGTTTGAACCAACAATTGGGTCAGATACTGTGACCCAGTCAGGAAGAAGATGGAAGGTAAGCATAACCTTGTCCACCATTTCAAACTATGAAACCCCTCATCAGACTTTGCTGAACTTCTTTTGCAGAACAAAATAAGAAATGCTAAGAGATGAAATGATCCTAAATGATTTTCTTTCTTGATTTTGTCACTAGAATATTGCTTCCTTGTCTTTGGGTACATCCTGAGTCACGGTTTTTGATGGCACTTGGCAAATGTTTTTTTTTTCTTTATGATCTGGAAGTACACAATCTCCTTACAGTCCTGTAAAAGAGTAAAAAAAATAGCACTGCTATTTCACTTGCAATGTGGACTACCTTTGATCTCGAGCATAGGCGCGAATCCAGGGGTTTGGGGAGGGGAACGGACACTGCAGTGCAGTGGCGCAAAAAAGTGGGTATGCACTGTATGCAACGCATAGGGGGGATGCACTCGAGGAGGCGCAAAAACCCCTGCGGTAGTCCAAGCAAGAACCCCCGCTATCCATCCTATCCGTTGAACGCTGGAGAACCCAAACTGGGTTGATCTGAACTCAGCTGGTTTTGCAACGTAGTCTGTCTGTCGAGCAAAATTTACCAACCAGATCTTTTGAAATGAAGAATCCTAAGTCATTTTCAGCGCTGAAAAAGAATCACATGTCTATTGCGGTGAAAATAAAGGCAACTGAAATCATTACCTTTCTGAAATTGAAAGTAAAAATGCCAACGATGTTACTGTAAATAGCTTTTATATTTAGATTCACTTTTATATTTGTGGACAAAGTGTGTGGGACGTAACGGATATTTTAAACCAGCTTCAGTACAAAGAAGAGGGAAAGCAGACCGCTAAAAAAGCAACAGAAAACAACAACCACAAAAAACTGCTATAACGTTCGGCTGTGTGTTCTGTCAGCTGTCCAGCAGTGACGCTGCGGCTCGAGTGCTTCATCAGCTCGGTCAAAGTGATGGAAACGCCCTGACTCGGTAACGGCGCTTGGCGTTTGGGCGGGAGGAGACACTGAAACTGGAGGTTATCAGGGAGGGATGTCAGTTTTAAAACTCTCAAAGCAGACGGGAGCAACTCTTTTCAGCTTGAAAATCATATTTTGTACTCCGTGTGACGTCGTGATACAATCTCCTCGCCCTTCCTCGTGGCTGAGGAGACACATTTCTGGATAATTCATTGTGGTACTGATCTTGTTTTCCACTTGGGGCCTTTTTCTCCGCCTGCATTGAGACATCAGATACTCCTTCAATAATCCTATCTGAATATCATTCCTTTCACATGCAAATTGTCCAAGACCCACACACTCTGGTTATTCCAATGAAAAATCCAAACTGAAGCATTGGGATATCTGCCTTTTTAAAAACATTTTTTGTATTATTTAATCTCAAGCGTATCGTCAAACGTCTGACCAAAGCAACTAACCAAACGGTTTCACGAGAGGACAATTTTAAAATGGCCAAACCATTTTAAACCATTGTACATGGTACAAAAGTTTGTCTGTTCTCCCTCAAATGAAATGATTTGAATTCTACGGGATTCACGTGATTCACCAAAGTTTATTAGCTTTATTCTAACAGGAGGCTTGTTGTGTCCACTGCTTAACACCCTGATATAAATAACCCCACTCACAGCATGACGGTGAAGTCGTGACCCCGGCTGGGCAGGAGCGGGAATTTCCCCGACCGTTGCTCTAATTCTGACGTCCATTAAAATGTGGGCCAAGATGGGAAAGCATGCCATCTATTTTAGTCGCCAGCAGATGCTGCGGCCCTCACACGCTTTTCCGCTCCAGCGCTGCGAAAGTGGGCCGCGCGCTTCACGGCGTGCTCTGCTTTCTGGGAAAACACCAGAGCAACTTAATTCAGATTCTTTACCACCAAGGAAAGGTGTAAGTGGTGGAGTTACAGATCTGTTAAAATTGCATGAAGTCCAGCTGGAGTGATTCCATCGGTATCACTCCAGTACAAATGTGTGCAAATCTTTGCTTATATTCTGCCCAAAAAATACTTATTTTTTTCTTAATTAGATGAGATGGACCAAAATATAAAGTTCAGTGAAAATGTTGATATTTTAAGTACGAAAACAGCGGCGGCTGTACTTCGCAATGAGATCGTCGCAACAACCTTCCGGACCCCTCAGCTCTTCTGGTTCTGGTTCTGCTCTGCGTCCCCAGAACCAGAACCACGTGTGGAGAAGCAGCGTTCAGCCACAAATCTGGAACAAACTGCCAGAAAACCTTAAAACAGCTGAAACACTGACATCCTTTAAATCTCCACTGAAAAACCCCACCTGTTCATAGAGTGGTATCAGAAACTGAATTTCACAATGGCACTCGACTCAACGTCATGGTCTGATTGTTGATTCTGTTGCATGACTTTGTAAAGCACTTTGAAATGTCTTCCTGCTGAAATGTGCTATAGGAATAAAATTTGCTAAAAATAATAAGAAAAAAAAAGTTTAACACTACAGTGTAGTAAAATAGAAAAGTCCTTCTTCCACCCCCCAAAGAAAAGTCACTCAAGTAAATGTAATTGAGTAAATGGAGCTGTAGTTACTATATAACTCTGGCTAAGTGTGAGCTTTGAAATCAGAGGGGAAACGAAAACAAAAGCCTTCAGAATAAAAAAACAAAACAAAACAAGTTGACAGAAGACAATGGCGATCACGTGATGTCATATATTTAGCATGAGTCACGTCCTTTGCATCATCACCGGCTGCTGCTAGATGCTTACAGGTGCTTCCGAAAAGTTTCCCACGTGACCCCCCTCCTCCCCCTCCCCCTCATCCCGTCCTCCCTCATTGGTTGAAGTCTTCACAAAAACTCCATCAGCATCATCCCGTACCAGAGACCCACGCGCTGGATGAATGGGGACAGGACTTACGAGCTGCTTCTTCCACACTTCCAGCGCTTTCACCGGCTGTCCTGGTGATGCGTGTGTGATACGTGTGTCACATAGTTTTCTCGCTCATTATCGTGTGGAGTATTCGGGAACGCACAGCGGCCGGGCCAGAGCTGCTGCTGCCGCTGGTACATGACAATTAAACGCGGCTGTGATGATTTTCTGGGACTTTAAGGTCCGAGAGAGCTCACGCGCAGCCGGAGTCTAAACTCTGCGGGGAGAGATGGCGGAGGAAACCCTCAACGACCTCTACCCGGATTTAAACGAGCTGGAGAGCAAGGTCGGGAGGAAAACGCCGGAAAGTCTCCTGGTTTGGCTGAAGGACGCCGCGGACTGCGAGGGCTGGACGGCTGACCCGTCGGGCCGCGCGGACGACACCTCGGAGGGTTTATCTGATAAACTCAACACCTTAAAACAAGAGCTGGTAACCACCTTCTCAAAACTTCACTCTCTTTCGCTTTACCTGCTCGTTCATTTCCGTGACTGTCGCCTTGTCGCCTCACCACACCTGTCGCCTGTCTCTCCTCAGCCACACATTCGTCCCACCGGTTCTTCCTCATTCGGTTCATTCCGTTTAAAATAAACATCTAACTCCCTGGCTGCGTGACGCACTTACGTTTTCAGTTTTCAAAGTTTATTTCAGAATTTTAGATTTGGTGAAATACAGTCTTGCCAAAAAAATAAAAAATATAATGAATCAAAATCTTACAAAAAATTGCAGTTATTAAATTTGCCATTTTTCCAAACTACATTTAATTATATTTTTATGCTTTTTTATTTCTATTTTATTTTTCTTTACTGCTCTTCAACGACTTACAGGGAAAACATATTTTCATAAATATAAATCCCAACAATTCTTTGTCTTTTGGAATTCCCTGGACGTTTCCATGGTAAATTAAAACAAAATAAAAAAAATAAAGTATGATGATTTCAAAAAGTATCAATAATTGCCTGGCATGTGTTTTAGGTATTTAATCTCTGCCGCACTTGACTTAATTGAAAGGATTATTTAAAAAAGATTTTAAAAAATTATTAGCACCAATAGATAACATAATGCTAACTAGTTAGCTGAATTAGGTGTGATACAGTAGACGGGCATTTAAAACCTGCTGGTTTTAGGAAGTGATTCATTGTGTAAACCATCAACACACATGTTGGCAACAACCTTGAGGCTCCGTGACATTTCACACACGCACATGTGTGAAAGCATCTGCTCTGTCCCTGCAGCGGTGGCTCCGCTGTGCCGACGTGAGGATCCTGCGGCAGCTGGTGGCCGTGCATGAAGGCATCGAGGCCATGCGCTGGTTGATGGAGGACAGGGGCTTCCAGACCAGCCGGTGCAGCAGCTTATCGGGCAGCATCAGCAGCTTGGTGACCATCGATGAGCACGTTCCCTCAATGTCTCCCTGCAGGTGTGTTGAGAGGCCGCGAAGTGAGCGGGGGAATCAGCTTCAGACTAAGAGGAGTATTTTAAAGTCTATTCTCTGAGGGAGCCAGAGGAAGTACTTTAGCTTAGCTCTGTCGTGCTGGAAATGTTCTTCAGGTGACAGAAGGCCGACTTTGTTGCTGTCTTTATGTGATGCTGAAGCTCCAGGTCAGAGTCGATCACCAGACCAAGGTTTTGGACCTGATCGCTAGATATAGTAACTGAATCTGCATCCTGACTCTTGTTTGTTTAGAAGATTAGTTTCTTTATTTTTCATCTCCAATAATTTATCATTTCAAAAGGTGAGGAAAACATTTGGTTTTGATTGAATTTTATTCACATTTCTATAAAGCCAAGATTCCTAGATTTTCACAACCCTAGAAAAACTTTCCCTGAACATAATCTTTCACATATTAGTGAAGTAAAAAAGTTAATAATTCTCCGTTTGTAATCATTCTTTTCAGATTATTCAGAGTGTAAATTTCTGTTGCCTCCATTATTTCCACAGAGAAGACCCAACTCCTGCCTTCCCTCAGGATTTAAGGCCAGCCGCCAATCCAAAGCCAGCAGATCAAAACCCACCACACACCAAGACGTCCGAACCCCAGTCTCCCTCCAAATCGATCCAGGTCGAGGCTCTGCTTCCTGCCATCAACACTGTGGTCAGCGCTGACGCGCCCAAGTCAGAAGCCCCGGAGTCGGGTTCGGCGCGGTTCCACATCAGAAGCGGCGCCGAGACCATCAAGAGAGCTCTGCTCAGGTCCAGCAGGAGGAAGCAACTGAAAGCTGCAGGTCAGGACGCAGGAAAGGAAAACTCGGAGCGTCCGACTCAGCAGAGTTTATCTGTGTTCAAGACAGAAGAGGTGAAGAAGGACAAGGAGGAGAGTTCAGCTGGTGGGGAGAAAGACTTACTGGGTTATGATGCTCAGTGGTCCTGGGTGGAATCCAAGGACGATGTCACATTCTTATGATCTTCCACGCGGACACTTTATGATAAAGCTTTGCCTTTTAAACTGTAAGCTTCTGGAGAGACAGTGGAGCTTAAAATGAACTTTGACACCAAGTGAAACTTGAACGTATTTAATGCGAATTTACCAACTCAGGAAGTCGTGTTTGGATTTCTCCACAGGTCGGGAGGACACGGCAAATGTTCAACTCAAATTCTGTTCCAAAATACTTTATTGATCCCAAAGGAAAATTAAATAACCTAATGTACATAAACCAGTGGGAGAAGGTGATATTATTAGACAAGACCAAAATAAACTTTTTGAACTTTGTGCAAAACAGTTTGTGAGATAGAAAGTCAACGATGCAATATGACGACTAAAAGAAAGTACTGATTACCGAACATAAATACACCTCACACTTTTCAAATTATTTGTCCAAGATAAACAAATAAAGCAATTTGAAACCATGCACTCCTTTTCCTTCCTCTTCAGTTATGCATTGCCCTTACATCTCTCCTAATAATCTTAGTGGTGTGCAGCTGTATGGAGTGAAAATAGTCCCAAAATAACTGCGTGTGTAATACAGGATTTGTAAACCTTAGTAATGAAATAAACCTTCTGCTACACCCATAAATGTTGAAAAAGTACGCACAAGTACCGGGTACACACACACAAAACTGCATTTACACACAGATACGGTCATTTCACGCTTCAGGAGCTCTTCAGATTTGTGTGTGGACGGTGCGTTTACATGCCAGTAGAAAGCTGGGTCATCTGAGTGTTACTCCGAGTCTAGCGTTTTTGTCCTCTAAATGTGTCTCGCCGAGCTTGTGCCAAATACGTTCGGTGGAAAACGGTATAGGTATCTCAGCACTTCCTTGTAATATCCCCAAAATTATTTGCAGACATGTTGCGCATTTTTGAGCGGTCCAGGAGACAAAGTGGTCTGAAAAACGACCACTGGGTGGCGCAATTGTTCCAGGAAGCAAAGACGGAGCGTCCCGGTGGTCTGACCTCTGGAGTAAGAAGCTACACCTGCAGGCTTTGCTCCCCGGTTGTAATGAGATATTGTATTCATTATAAATTATTTGAGATTACGTTTCATATGTCTGGTATTTTCATACTCTGTCCTCCTCAGACGTTTCTGTTAGAGCTTCCTTTTTGATAGGTTAGTTGTTTTACGGCATTCAGAATGATTACTGGAACAGAATCATTCTGTTTGTTTTGTTATAGAAATCGTAACTTACCGTCAGTAACTAATTGATCAACAAACAATTTAAGCTATTTTTTTTCTACAGCACTCAAACGCCCCCCTGCAGACACGCTCGTGACGCATCACGTCGTCAGACAGAAACCCGGAAGTGCTAAGCAGGTATGTTTGGTTTCTTGTTTTTTTTTTTTTTAGTTGAAGGTACCTGCGGCAGCGCGGGTGGACCGGGGAAGATGTGACGGGCTGGTTTGTCGGAGGGAAAAGATGGAGGCCTGCTTTTTGCGCTGGCTGCTTTTAGTCGCGCTGACAGCCTGGACGTCAGGAGACGGTAAGAGTTTTGTCAAGAGGAGGGCAAACATTAGCATGACCGCTAGCGAACGTTGATTTTTGGGTTGAAGTCGCGACGGCAACGACGAAGAAACATGTCGTAAAGCCTACAAAATGTCGAAAATAGTCTCCAAGTGCGCGCGGTGTTTCCCTTTTTATCGCTCATCTGAAGGAGTGTCAATTTTTACTTTAAAGAGCTGCAGCTGTCAAATGCGCCGATCAGACTTTTACTGTCCGATACCGACTTCTTGTTTTTTATTATTCTGTAACTCAGAATAACAACCGATGTTCTTCGGGATGTTTGATAGTTAGTAGTTTATACTTTAACAATAAATGGCATTTTTTTGGTTTTTGACATGTTATTTTTGAAATATGAGGCAGCAGTCCCATCACTGAAAGTGTTTATTCTTCACCCTGAATATGAGTTGAAAAACTCCAAACATGTGTCCAATTAACTCTATGAGTAGGAAAGGTAAAAAAAAAAGGGTTCTTCTCATCTAACCTAAAGGCGGCACCTGCCATGATACCTGCAGCCTCAGGCACTCATCTATCCATGTCTTATGCTCTTTCTTTGTGCTTTAGATTAACTGCACTGAAACAAATTTTGTTGTGCTTCTGTGCAACGACCACTAAAGATGATTCTGATTCAGAAACACTTATTTAAATCATTTTTCTGAGACTGGATCAATATCAAGTGGCAAATTTCTTCTTCTGAAAAGTTTTTTACCTTGTTGCCAAAGTCAAGAATGTTAATCTGGTAATCTTCTTTTGCTTTTTGTTGTTTTTGTTTTTTCTTCCAACATACGTTCTGTACCAATAAATTGCCAGCACTGCTTTTCTGTAACTGTGCAACGGATGTTTTGGCCTTTTCAACGAACCCTTTTCCTCCCTGCAGACGGACAAGTGACTTTTGAATCCGAGCTGTCGTCCAAACCCGCTCAGAAGTTGTCAAAGTATGGCTGGTACGCCAACGTCAGGCTGCAGAGGTTCCACATCCCGGAGCAGACCGCCGTCGCTCGCTGGCTCTTCTCAGTCAAGAAGGGCCACAACTTCAACTGTGGGCAGCACAACGTCAGCATGTAAGCCACAAGACACTGTTACGGAACAACAAATCTGTCGTCACTGGCTGATTTTTATTTTAACCAAACTCAACTCTTTTGTTTTTTTTTTCCCCCAGCCACCTCCGATGGGGCGCCCCTCCCGTCATAAACCCAACAGAGACTGTGTTTCCAAACGCGACTCTGTGGGGTCCTTCCTTGTCCCTGACTCTCCCGGTAACCTCCCAGAGCTCCACAACCTTTAACCTCTCTGATCCGGCTCCAGGAGATTGGTTCGTCGCTGCGCATTTACCGGAGGACGACGGGCGCATAGAGCAGAAGGTTTGTTCCGGGATTTTGTTTTCTAAAAATGAAATTTTACTTTACTGTTTCTGTTCAAACCAGCTGCACTGTGCGCAGAGATGCGCAATAAACGGGAGATTTAATTTACGGCTGCTAATGTGGCTTCAGCAGGTCTTCAATTTCTGTCTGTTGAGTTTTTGATAAAGGGACACGAAAACTGTTCTGACTGCTCAAGTTTGCTGCTCGAATTTTTCTGAGTCAAAATGTATTATTTTTACTCACTAAAAATAATAAAATAAAATATAACCAGCGTGACTCTGAGGGGAGCGCCAAAGATCCACACCAGGCTGAACCTGCGAGGTTAGTGCTGGTTCGTTAGCCACCAACAAACTTCACAGGGAAGACAGAGCCACACGCTGGGCAGCATGTTGAGATGTACAGGCATCATGTTTTGTTCACTAATATAAATCATTCTCACCACTCGCTCAATGCTCTCCTCTGAAAGCGCGACTACAAGTTGTTCCTGTGAATCACATAGAGCTGTGCAACCAGAGCAATTGTTAACTTTTCTAAAAATTAAATCAAGCAACACTTGGCCTGCCTTTGCTTGGGTAACTCCAGGCTAGTAAAGCATGCCAGGCCGCCAGGCTTATAATGCACTTCTATGAATAAGTGACAAAATAACCCTGCCCATGTCTTTGTGCACCACAGAACTCTGATAGTAACTTCACTTAGATTTTATAAATCTAAGTGCCATTTAAGAAGCATTTTCTGATCCTCTAAATAACTCAGTCTTTGGCAGAATAACTCCTTGGATTTCAATTCTATTCAGGTCATATTGCAAACGCCATATATTGTTTAGAGCTAATAATAGATAATGGATTATATTTCATCCCAAGAGGGATATAATATAGTTGTGGAACAATGGTCCCGGAAAATCAGTCCACAACAATAGCTGTTTTGTCCCCCACGTCTCAAGATGTGGGGGACAAAACAGTTTCATTTTCTTCAGTGAGAAGTAGAAATTTTAGTTAACGCCTCTCTGTTAACCACTGTTATCAAATGAAAGGGATATAAGTTACAATGTTACACAATCCAGTGTAACATTAACCTGACTGTATAGTTTAGGTCAGCATGCGATCACTCCACCTGTACACCGTGTTCCAAATTATTATACAAGTGATATTTTTTCAGACTTTCTTAAATGGTCAATGCAAATGATGGTCAGTGTAATATTAGGTTCATGCACCGCATCACAGACAAACTAATCCACCAGCTCTCTGAAATTAATTATAGTGATTTAAAGAGCCCTGACACACAATAACATCTATAAATTTAATAGCACAACAAAAAACTTTCCCTTTATGATACTTAAATCCAATTTGCATAATAATTTGGAACATGGTGTAAACCACCAGAGTTGCCAATCACACTTAGTGTCAAAAGCTTTTTTTGTTTTTATTGAACTCTGCCAGCTTTTCTGTAGATGTTGCAATTTCTGCTCTTTTTTTTGAAGATTGTGCAGTAGTTGTGTCCAACATCTCGGTGGTGAATGGAAGCAGCGGAAAGTCTCACTTTTCTACTAATTGGTTTACTGCCCTACGTTAAAGTAGCAAACTTTCACACCATCTAAAAAATATCGGTTCATATACAGTTGGTTTTCTAACATTGCACAGTAAAACAAATCACTTCAAGCTAATGCTAATCACTTTAAGCTAATGCCAACCAACATGTAGTGAGCAAAAGGGAAGTTAAAATGCTGATGCGCAGCCAGATTGCAGCTGCAGTCATTCATTTGGCTCGGACACGGAGAAAAATTCACACCTTAACTTTTTATTCTAACTTGGAGATTTGTCTTTTAGTCTAACTCTAAAATTCTATATATTTTTATGAAAATAAACAACGGTTAAAGGTTCTGTTGGATAATTTGCTTCACATTTCTGGCGCCACCTGCTCACAGCACTTATCTGTGACTTACTTTTCGGACAAAAGTCGAACCACACCGTCGTTTTCCAAGAGATCTGGGTGTGACGAAGCCTTTAGTCATCACAGTGTAACGTTAGCCTGACTGCTTTCTTTAATCTGTACTGTAATTTGTGCAACAGGATATGGATGTAAAGTCCAGTTTGCCTGTGAAACCCTTTAAGCCCGTGAGCCATCATGGTAAGATTGTGTACGTTGCCATTGTAGCGTTTCCGTAAAATTCCTCGTTTCTGCCGCTGACCTGCTGAACCGGAGCGGTGGCTGTTTACTGTGCAGCTGAGCAACATTCTTTCCATTTAGTCACCTGGTTGGTTTGTTAAGTAATATCTTGATTGGAAGCAACTCTTCACCCCCTGTGCCCTTTCAGTCTGATGTTGATTGTATTGCTTTTTATGCAGTTCTTTAAAAAGCAATCAATCTGGCACAATTTATATGTCTTTTTATGTTTCAGGGTTTTCCGTCCTGCTCCTATTACTTCCAGCCTCAGCTGTCAGTCAGGAGAGCGGCGGACACGCCCGTTCTGCACCAGGGAACCATCCTGACTCAGACCGCAGCCCCCGACAAACCCGCACGCCTCAAGTAATTACCGCAACACGGTGTCCTCCTTTTTCGAGATCGCGTCTCATTAATTCAGACGTGCTAAATCGTGGCAGGTTGTTTGTGCCGGAGTTCACCTCGTCTGTCTCGGTTTCCGTGGCCGGGTGCTCGTCCGACGAGGCGTCGGAGAGCCCGGGCTGCTCGCTGCTGCTCAAGCTGGGCTCGGCGACCCTGCAGCACGGTCAGACGGAGCTGAACTGCTCCGGGTTCAGCTGCTCCGCTTCCCTCTCTAACCCTCCGTGGGACTCGTGGCTGCGGATCGTTGTGGAGAGCAGCCAAGTCAACCGAACTGTAACCTTCAGCATTGGATCCAACTACACAGGTGAGCACTAAGCTCTCACTCATCATATTAGCTCTTTTTAATTTATCCTTTTCTTTATTTTTAATATTTTTACACATTTCAGCATGTTACAGCTAGGGAAGCACCGATTCACTTTGTTTCAACTTCTGATACCGATATCTGAGGTTTAGCATCGACCGACACCGATCCGATACAGAAAGACAGAGCTGAATTGATTTGAAACACATCTTTCTATTTCAAACACAGACATAAATATACTGAATTATATTTTTTTAATGACTCTGCACCTGAATAATTAGCTTCACAAGCTTAGTCAAACATGTTAAAACAGCACAACTTTAATTTGTTCATGCAGTGTAATTAGACGTAGAACAGCCAATCTAAAGTGAAAAAAATTAATAATTAGGGATGCAAAATAGCTTTTTTTTTGTTTTCACACCAATAACCAATAATTACTGACTCTACTCTAAACAAGACCAAAAACATTTCTTAAAAAACCACCAACTTATAGATGCACATTCATTTGAGTCGTAGGTTTTTTCCTTTAAAAAAGAAACACAACCTAATAAGACAAAAGGATCAAAAATATTACTGACATATTGGTAATATAACAATTATGTAGTGAATCAGTTGAGAAAATCCAATTAAAGTATTCTACAAAAACACTGCGAACTTTATTTTGCATGATCTATATTTAGAAACCATTTTTAATCTTCGGTTTTGGTAAAGTATTCTATGATTATTGCTACTTTTTCTGGATCTAATTTGGGGGGAAAAAAAACACCATCAAGGGATACGAATGTGTTTGCATTTTCTGTTCCTATCTGGTTCAGTGGGATGTAAGCCAAAGAGCGTGGGCCTCACAGCGGACGATGACATCACAAAGCTACTCGGCAAGAGCAGCGTCTCCAACTCCACGGCGACAGGGAACGGCTCGGCTCCTCCTCCTCCGCCGCCGGCGTCCGCGTGCGTGTGGAGCGTCCCCGTGCTCTACGAGGAGCTCGACGTCCTGTCGCTGCGGTACACCCCCGTCAACGGCTCCAACGTCAGCGTCGCAGAAACGCACCCGACGCTGCTCACCTACCCGCTGCCCCCGCAGGCCACCGGGGGAACGCTCAACCTGCAGCTCACGCTCAATTCTGTGAGTAACTGAACCACTCACACGTGTGTGTGTGTGTGTGTGTGTGTGTGTGTGTGTGTGTGTGAGTGTGTGTGTGTGTGTGTGTGTGTGTGTGTGTGTGTGTGTACTTGAACTGTTAAGAGATTTCTTTATTTGTTTGTTTTTTTTCTAATATAGACTAATGCAACTTTGGGAAATAACAGCATCATGGCCTGTTTCTCTGCCTGGGCTCCAGTCCTCCAACTCAACCATTCTGAACCCTGCAGAACAGGTACAGGCAGACCTGTCAACCATCGCAGACGTTATTGCGATAAACGACGATATTGTTCCTTTGAGACCATTTTCAAGTAATATAATGGCAATGACATAATAACGGAAAAAACACATTCTCAAAGATGGACGAACCTTAAATTTTAATGAACTTTTAAACACTGGAACTGGAAGATATTATAAATGTACAAAAGAAATAAACAAAGCAACAGAAATAACAAAATTAATTATGAGAACAAAATTGAACTTAAAAAAGGGTGTAGTTGAAACAAAAGCAGCAAATGGAAGACTTATATCATTCAGTTTCTGGTAGAAAGACAGAAAAGAGAAGAACAATATATTATGAAAATGGACATTATTGTGTTTGTTTTAATTTATAATGCGGTTATTTGATTCATGGCTTAAATCATGGCTTAACTAAAACTTCGAACCTTAGTTTGGATTCAGTTACCGTATTTTCAGGATCTGTCAGAAAAAAGTGAGACTTCTAGTCTGGAAAAACACAATTTATTCTAGCCTTCTGTTCTGAGGTCAACATTTCTATCAAAACCTACAATTAATGATTCAGAAGAACATTGAAACTATTTATTATTAATCTGTGTATGTTGTTTGTGGGTATGTTGGACACTGCACTTTGTCAAAATTCACCACAAACTAACTTTTTTTCTTTAAAATACAAAAAGTATGTTCTCTAATTTTATCAATATATGGTTGTTGTTTTTTTTTTTTATAAAAAAGTTCCACCTGTTTGTCTTTTCGATATGACAAAAATGTGAATTCAGAAAGGAGACATTTTCAGTTCAGTATAGAAGTCAACGTTTATATTCACCTTTTAAAATTGACCTTTTATTCTGTCTTTGACGTTTATTAAAAATTTCACACACAAAGAACTCAAGTTGAATGCAAACGAAAACCATAACCACTTTATTTCACTGCAGATTTAAATTCTGCGCTATCATGAAGTTGTTGTTAACTTAAAGTTTTATTAGATGATTAGTCTGCATCAAACATGGACGCAGTGTCAAAAAAAGTCTGTACTTTCAGACATACAGGAATAACGGCCGTCATCTTGTTGATTCTCTACAGCTTTGTTTGGGGGATACGCCGTCGGGATCAATGTCAGCGTCCCTAAAGCTGTGGTCAGGCTGCCTTTTCCTCAGTCCTCAACATGGTACCTCACCCTGCAGCTGCTGTGCAACAGGTGGAACACACACGCATGCTGCTGCAGCATCATGACTTATTTCAGTGTGTGTAAGTCTGACAGTCTGACAGTGCTCATGCGTCGGCTGTTCTCGTGTGTTTTCTGCAGCAGCGACTGCGTTAACTCCTCGGTGGTGTCTGTGGTCCCGGAGGTGTCCGTCAGCGCCTGTGTGGATGACTGCGGGCCGTATGGTGAATGTAGGCTGCTGAGGTCCTACACATACCTGTACTCTGCCTGTGTCTGCTCCGCAGGTACACACACACACTTTTACCTGTGTTGGCATCTTCATGTGAAGTTGAGAGGTCATAGTGTTACATGGAGTGTAACACTATGACACTACTTTGTAGTGTCATAGTGTTAGAGTGTAACACTACTTTCTACTCGTTTTGTTTAGGGCAGAAACGATCAATCTGATCACTCGGGTTAATTGTGATGAATCGATTATTGAACTAATCAGAAGCAGAATGGTTGAGATTTGTGTTTTTGAATGGCTTAGTTAATGTCCAGACCTAAATTCAATTGTGACTCTGAAGTAGGGTTGAAATGGTTAATCGATTCATTGAAATAATCGTCAACTAATCTAGTGATCGATTAATCGTTACATTTGGAGTCTGGTATAAAAACAAAAAACAAAAAAGCCATTTGCTGGAGGAACGAGACATTCAGAAGATTAATTAATACAAAAACTACAGAAATAAATCTATACATTTTGCATTTAAAGAAAAAAAAAGACCTTTGCCTATAAATATGTTCCACCTAGAGCTCAAGTAGCATAGTTTTAACTTTACCCAGATCAAATTCTGCAATACCAAATAAATTCTACTATTCAACACCTTTTGATATCCATTTATTAAATATTTTATAATTTTTTTTTTTTAAAGTGCTAAGCTGTATTGATAAGTCCAACTGAAAGTGCTGAGATTTTCACATGTTGTAGATTCATCCTGTTCTACAAATCATCAAGTGCTCTAAAGCAATGCTGTTGTTACATTTTAGGCAATAAGATGTTTATTTTCCTGTTTAAAGAAATGAATTTAATCATTTTTAAAATGTGTTTCAAATATGCTATGAAATAACCTTGAACGGTTAAATAAAAAATCTGCCGGCTTTATTTTTTAATTTGACGAATTAATAGAATAATTAATTAACTAAAGCAATCGTTAGTTGCAGCCCTTTAGTTGTGAATGTGTCGGTGGAAGCAGAAATGTCAAACACCAACACCGACGCATCCGTCCTCTTTTTCCTCCTCCGCAGGCTGGAGAGGTTGGGGCTGCACCGACGGCTCCGCCGCTCAGTCGTACGCCCGCCAGCTGACGGCGACCATGTTGCTGACGCTCAGCAACCTGTTCTTCCTGCCCGCCATCGCGGTCGCCATCAGACGCTCCTACATCACCGAGGCCTTCGTCTACCTTTTCACCATGTTCTTCTCTACGGTAAGCTATTACCTGTTCGGGCTGACGTTACAGAGCTTCTGGGAATCTTTCCTCATGACTAAAGATGCATGGACATATTACACAAAAACACTACAAAGTCTTCTGGTCCTGAACCAGCATGTCACTGAACCAACCTTGGACCTGATGACGCCAGCTTTTAAGAGTCGCTGCAGCTAACGATTTTTTTAGTAAACCATTGCTCTGATGATTAATCGATTAATCGCATAAGAAAATTGGCACATTTGGCAGGTTTTTCCTTGTGCCACCTAAGTCTTTTCATACAGTACAAATGGCTGCCGTTATAGATGCAAATAAATGAAAACAAATGATTTTTTTTGCAAGTAGATAAACATTGTAGCACAGGCTGCATCTGCAGCTAAAAAATACTTCTAATACAAACGAATGAAAGGCTCAGCTCTTTCTACTTGACTTAACATCAAGTCAAATTCATAAGACACTTTATTGATCCCATAGGAAAATTGAATGTTGCTGTAACTCATTAATTCAAAACTCTTTGAAAAGTTATTGTACACTGTAGGGCTGATCTGCTGACTAGCTCTATATTAGCCGATTAATAATTGATAGCAAAGGTGCTAAATAGATTTATTTTACAGAATTTGGAACAGATGATGCTAAAAAAGATCATCTGTACAAAAGGGATCTTTTTAAAAAATAAATGCAAAAAGTGTGGTCTTTTTGTACAGTTTGGCTTAATTGGTGCTCTCTGTGTGTCGTTGTCCCAGCAAATGGCTTTTTTTGAGTCTGTATGCTCCAGTTAACGATTAATCGATTACTAAATTAGTTGACGATTATTTCAGTAATCGATTAATCACAATTAATCAATTATTTCAATACTCATGATTAATTTGACTTGTTCAATAGTCAATTGCAATTAATTGATCAGGATTAATTGATCATGTTGATAATCACTTGTGATTAATCAATCATTTGAATAATCAGTGAGGATTAGTTGATCATTTTGATAATCGCAATTAATCATTTCAACCCTACTTCAGGGTCTCAATTGGATTTAGGCCATTTGGAAACAAAGCCCTCATCCATTGAGTTCTGGTCCTGGATGGATCTGATCCGTTGTTGTCCTGGAAGGTGGACATTTTTCTGTCTCACGTCTTTTACAACCTCCAACAAAGGCCGTCCAAACCCAGATTAAAAGAGGCCCGAGTCCGAGTCTGATCCGACAAACTTCACTCAAATTGCTAAATTTCAAGTTCTGCAGAGGCCTCATTTGTTTCAGAGGTGCTGAATGCAGGACAGTGTCCATGTTTCACTGATCTGTGTCCTGCGTGACATTCAGTGTTTGTACGTGATGTCAGTATTTAGAGGCTGAATGCGTCCAGAACGTGGATCCATGTGGACCACAGGAAGTCTTCAGCACATCCTCACCCTTTCCCCTTCCCTCCCTGCAGTTCTACCACGCCTGCGACCAGCCAGGCGCGGCGGTCCTGTGCATCATGGACTACGACGCCCTGCAGTACTGCGACTTCCTCGGCTCCATCTGCTCCATCTGGGTCACCATCCTCTGCATGGCTCGCCTGGGAGACACAGCCAAATACGTAAGAGGCCTCTGGCCTTTCACCTTCCAAGATCAGTTCACTTTACAGAGTAACGACAGCTTTAGCGTCCTCACCTGCTCCTTCCTTCCTTGTTGGCGTGCAGACGCTGTTTCTGCTTGGGGCCTTGCTCATAGCCATGTCGATGCAGCTGGACCGTAAGGGCCTGTGGAACCTGCTGGGCCCCATCCTCTGTGCCATACTTCTCATGGTCACTTCCTGGGTAGGTGACACGTCGGCGTTGACATACTTTGCAAAAGAATTTTTGTTTGCTTGTTTTTCATGTGAATCTTGAGAGTGCGATCATATGATTGTAATTTGAATCTTTTGAGTTGTATTTATACTTGATTCATATTTACTGTGGGTTTTTTTTGGGGGGGTTGTTTTTTGTTGATTTGTGTATCTGTTTAGTTTGTGCCGCCTAGAGGGTTCAGGGGCGTCACAATTTTTATAAAGAAAACCCATGTATTGAGTCTTTCGGGTTGTGTTTTGTAAAATATATATTTTTAGCTTTACATCATGTTGTAAGGTTGCACCTGGAGTGTTGCCTTGTTTATTTTATAGCTGTTTGAGAATTCATTTAATCTCCACGGCAACCTTTAAGCTGCACAAAACGCTTGGCTGGACCTAGCCCCGCCTTTTAAAACGAAGCTCCTCCTCTGAGCTGCGGTTTCCAGGCTTCCGCCTCACAGAGCTCCTTCAGACTAGCCAGCAGCAATCGGCGAACAGCTAGAGCAACTGCTCTTCCGATGAGCTCATTGTACGCGCTACGTCTCAGTCCAACGCTGGTACAAATGTTGTTCAAGCTGTGTTGTGATGACTTCCTGAAGGCGGAGTTTCACAAAGAACAGGAGATTTTAAAGAGACAGAGGCCCAATTTCAAGGCGTTAAATTAGAAAGTCAAAATTCCTTCTAAGTCATGTTTGATTAATGTACAGCATTTTTACAACAGGTGAAGTTAACAGAGTTACTTTATTGGATTATGTGCCTGGAAAACACATAGAAATACCCCTTTAATTGATTCTTCCTCTCTTTTTTTAAGCTACTTTGTGTATGTTTTGCTTTTATTTATGCCACCCGGAGAGTGGGAGGGGTGGAAATTTTTGTCATAAAAAAATTGGTATTGGCACTGAACAAAAAACAATAGCTATATAAACAGAAGGAAGGGGGGGGAACAACTATTTTTAACGCGACAATAACCAAAGGTGTACAGGGGCGTCCGCCGGCGACACTGCTACCCGCCCTCCTGGCGCCGCTGGGTCTTCTACCTCCTGCCCGGAGCGCTGTGCGCCCTCATCGGAGTGTGCCTGTACGTCTTCGCCGAGACGGAGAGCAACTACTACTACACGCACTCGCTGTGGCACATCCTGGTGGCCAGCTGCGTGGTGTTCCTGCTGCCGCCGGAGGAGAAGGACAGGAAGGCGCTGGGCTGGAGCCGGGGCTTCAGCTGGAGCTGGAGGTGGAGCTGGAGGCCGCGGGTTTGTGGATACACGCTCTGCGAGAGCAGCAAAGACGAACTCTACACGGTCACATAGCAGAGGGGGAGGCAAAGCGGGTCCGGCGTTCATTTACAGTCCGACTCTGTGCCTGGACGAGGCGTTTTCCTGTGTAAAGCTGTATATTCACATAAGTCCACATATATTTCATATTCACATGTGCTCCAAGTGGAAAAGGGCTCTTAGATTTAGAGTGAAAAATAGGAACATATATACTTTTATTAACTCACATCCAGTCTGCTGGAATCTCTAGAGAGATGCACCAATTAGATTTTTATAGCCGATTTCTGCCATACAGATTTAATGATTCCATTTCTTCTTTATGGACTCTACTTACAAAATGCCAATCTTATATATATATATATGTATATATATATATATATATATATATATATATATATATATATATATATATATATATATATATATATATATATATATATATATATATACAGGAGTCGATGTAAAACAGGGTTTATTATTAGTTAAGACTAAATGATCTGAGTTGAAATTTTTAACCACGTCAGTCCGGTCAGATTTAGCAACTGCATTTTGTAGAGAATGCAGACCGTTAACCAAACCCAAAGGTCTAAAAACGCTGCCAATATTTTCACCTCCAATCTGTTCAAACGTGGCCGAGCGTGCCTCGCTTATTCTTCCAAAAATATATGCACGGTCGTGAATTGACATTCTGGAAGAGACTGCTGCTTTGCTTTTTGGATAAAGTCGGGTCACATCAACGTACAAATATTTCGAATAAGCGAAATGATCAGCAAGCGCTGGCCGTAACGGGCCGCTGGCTAGAAATCATGTCTGCGGCGCATCAGGTGCATGTTTGACTGACCTGTTAAGATGTTGAGATTACATCGTTCCTGACAAACAAACCAGTACAGCACAAGGTTTCCCTCAGAAAACTTGCTAATTAACAGTCAGCATGCCTCGGTAGAAAATTATTTCTAAATGGCTGCTTTTGCCTTTTTGTGCTTCCGTACTGATTCTTCATGCAAACTCTGACTCATCTGCCTTCAGTTACAACTTGCTCAGCTCAAGTTTTTTTAGTTTCTGCCCATCGATTGCTTTATTGTTGCTGAACTAAAAGGAAATGATTCAATTTGAGTCAGCAGCTTATTTAAAACATCCAATGTCTCTGTGTCTTCACTGCATGTTTGTTGTGTCTTCTTAGATGAGACCGCCGGTACCCTGAGGTAGCAGACCAGTACAGCTGTGAGCTATAAAGCAGGATTAATGCCTAAACGAGGTTGTTGAATTTGAAGTAAGAGTTTCACATTTGAAGAGGTGGATATTAGCTGGTCACTGTAGCAACATGAGATAAGATAAGTAACCAGCATCAGACAAATTTTATATGAGAGTTTCTGATCAAAGTACTTTTGTTCTCCATCATCTTGACCGACAACGTTAAAAACAATCAGTCATGTACTATTTTTACCCGTCAAACTATAATCATATTACCATCAGCTATTTGGCCACATTTTTATGCAGTTTAGTTGAACCGTGAACGCATCTTAACTTTTTTCTCCTTTGTGACAAAAATCCCTGTTGCCCCGATAACGTCCAATAAATTAAAGAACTCCGCTTAAATTACGGTCACTTCGCCCGCTGGGGTCTGAACGCGCTGAGTCTCACAGATTCCTCCTGGTTCGAAATCTGCGCAGGTTCATCGGTCAGTTGGATCTTGTGTGATCCAAACCGATCAACTGAACTCTGCACGTTTTTTTTTTTTTTTTACCCTGTTCTGTCCGGGCGTGTGCTTTTACGATGACCTTTTATGGGTCGTCTCTCTTCCCCGAAACGGACAAATGTTGCGTCCGCCGCTCTCCTCTCGGGCGCGGGAGGGTAACGCGCACCCAGAAAGCTCCTCTCGTTGGACGAGTTGAGGAGGAGTTCAGTTCAACTCTTTGCAGCCGCGGAGTTCGCAGTGGTTGCGCTCGCCGCGCAAGACAAACTGCCTAGCTCCTCAAAATCCCGAAGATACTCGGTTATTTTGATCTGTGCCGCAGAAAACAATTTTCTTTTCAAAATTTGTACGGCCTCCTCTTAGTTCATTTTAAACAGCTCACTAATAGGAACACCGGTAGTTTATTCTTAGTGCAATCACTGATTGGATCGATCAATTTAAGGCTCAGCAAGTCACCCAACTGGACCAATCGAATTAAAAATCATCTGGTGCATCTCTGTTTGTAGAGATTATTGTTTTTCGGGTTTTGTTTTTTTTTTGTATTTATGGAATTTATTAGATGTGCTGGTCTAAAATATTTATCAATGATATTGCTTAATCTTAAATCTCCACAAAGATGTTGTATTTATGAATGATGTGTTTTTGTTTTCCCCCCTATAGGTCTGGGTTCAATTGGAAGAGTTTAAAACACCAGATGAAATTTGAACAATTATTTACTGCCAGGCAGGTACTATAACACTATCGAATTTGTCCTGTATTCTACGGCATTCCTCGAAAAATGACGACTCTGATTACACCTCACCTAGCGGCAGGAAGCTGCTGCTGCTCATCACAATCACTTATTGTCTTCACACAGCGTCAGAATTCTGACAGTCACGTCTCGGCGTCATGGCTGCAGATCAGAACAACCTGGACGAGGAAAACGATGAGGAAAACGTACAAAGAAATCAGATTTACCGAGTCCGTTATTCGGGTAAGATGGAGACTTTCTGAACCTTCCGGAAAAGGCAATGACAAAAAATGCAGCATCTTTTTTTTTTTTTTTTTTTGCTGTTTTAGACCCAAGATAACACAGGGCTTTTATCTGAACTCATGCATCTTCAGTAAAATGACTCATGAATTTGGAGTAAGAGTCTAGAGGCAGCCATGACGCCTGGTTACGACCTTGTATCTGCCGCAGATTTCTTTTAAAGCTGCAAGCCAGACTTTTTAACAACTTTCATTCGATGACCTTTCACATTTTGACTGTGGTAGGTCACGCATACCGAACCTGTCGAGGTCAGTTGTTCTCTTTGTTATGCCTTTTTACTGTAAACCGTTTCTTTGTAAAGAAGAAAATGCCCGGCCTTGTTGAGGCACACATCTCTGGTGACATCACAAAAGACATCCAATCAGAGTTCTTTTCCTTTTCTTAAAAAAACCTAACTCGTTTTTAAACAAGTTGGAGTCCAACTCACCTGTGTAGCTATGCATCAAGCTAGAGAGCTGGCTAGCATAGCTTGCTAGCTAACTAGATTTAACTAGCTTTCACTAGCTAAACCATTTTAGCTAGTAAATACAGCTAGTTTTTACTGACTAAATCTTTTTAGCTGGTAAAAAGATTTGTTCTTTTAACTACCAAAGTCTTCCAGCTTGCTAAATCAGACTAGCAAGCTAAATTATATGAAGTTCTGTTTTTTTTGTTTATTACCCAGCTTTGTTTTTATTGTCGTGTGTATTGAACATGACCGGGTGGGAATCTTCTGCTTTGAACGATCTGTGGAAGTAAAATGAAGAAAACGTTTTCTGTTCGTCTGCAGCCCAAAACAACTCTTTAAGTTAATTAGATGTTTGTTTTCCAGTTTCGGTGTGACATAAAACACTCGTATGTATAAATCAGCACTCAGTGAATGTATGCAAATATTACTGGCCAGTGCCTCTTCCTTTTGTCTTTTTTTATTTATTTTTTTATTGCACTTTATGTACTGTATAGGAGCTCTGTCTGCAGAGGGGGCGGGTCTTAGTCTCTTGTTCCAGTAAAACTACTGACATCCTGTTATATTTAATCCAAAACTCAACAATCGTCTCATGTTTCTTTGATCGAGTCTTCTCTTAAATCTTCCATTTCTCTCTGTTGTGACTTTGCACACATTTTGCCCTGATTGTTCAAGACCTTCCTTTTATTTAACTTTGTCACTAAGACGCTGGAATATGAGGAGGGCAAAAACTAACTGACCACTGTGACTTACCGTCTTTGTTTTGTTTTTTTGTTTTTCTCATCAAAGGATAGAAAATGTGATTCTGTTTCTTGTCAAAATGGAATCGAGCCTTGGAGAAATAAATCTACTGTGCAAGAAGAAAAGATTAACTTTGTTTGTGTTTTTGCAGTTGTGATTTTAGTCTGTTGTCTTTTTTTCTGACACACACACACACACACGAAGGAAAATCCAGATTTTCATCAGAGAGAGGCCGGTGAAAAGAGGGAAGCAGATTATGGTAATCCTGTTGAAATGCTCATAACTGTGTGAGTGTTGTGCTCCCATATATAGCTTACCTCCATTAGGAAATTGCAATGGTCCTGAAAGGTTTACAGATCAAACTGGAAGCTTTTCTGTAGCTGGAACATGAGAAGGCTAACACACGCGTGTTAACTAGTTGGACTTGTATGTGTTGACTCAGTGAATGAAGAGTTTTGAAAGGCAGAGGGGGGAAATGGTTGATTGCTTTAATTAACCCAACTTAAGTTTTTGTTATTCTATCTTCTATCTTTTTTCAGTTTTTTTTTTTTTTTTTGTTAGTTCCTTTGATGGCATTTTAGGCCCATTGTAGATAAGCGGGGGGGAGGGGGGGAAATAAATTTCCACCCAAAATTTCTGAAATTTTTTAGAAAACGACTCAGAAATTTCTGCGCTTGAAAGGTCAAAATGTTGCTCGAAAAACCAGACATTTTGAGACGAATCTCAGAAATATGAGGGGGGAAAAAACAAAACACTTTTTACTTTTGAAAATCAGAAATTTCCATGTTTTTATTCCCTTTTTTAACTTTTTTAGTAAATTTGCAAGTTTTCACACTCAGAAATGTCCTTGTAATTCCTAGAAAACTTATGAGATTGTCTGACGTAAATGTACTCTTTTCTTCTCCGTGTACACAGACCGTTGTAATACCCGGATTATAGTCTTTATGAAAGATCAATCATTTTCAATATCCAGCCGGTCGAAGGAGGTAGGCTAAACTACGGCTTGCAGGAGCGTTGCAGGAGTTTTAACGCCAAGAAACTTGAGTTTTTATTTTGATATTGTAGTTTTGTAATCTACAACACAATTCAAAACTAAAATTTAAAAAATCATAATTTTCCTTAAACATGAGACTTGACAGAAAACATGCTTTGCTGGAAATGTGGTCATTTTCATCTGATTATTTGTTTACGGTTAAAATAAGATGCTGAAGTACAGTTTAAAAGATGGTCCATTTTCTAAGGGATGTTTTGTTATTTTTACATATTTGTTCAGATAAATTGAAAAAAATCTACTTCCTCTACCTCCTGCCAGAGCCTCCATTACCCTCTGAAGAAACGCACCGCTACTGGCTAAAAACAACCAATCAGAACCAGGAGGCGGGTCTCTGTGCTGTCAATCAATCTTGTGGCAAACAGGAAAACCCTGGCTATGCTCACAAGCCTAGCATTCATGAAGCCACAGGTTAACTAGCAGCATTCTTTATTAATCAGCTAGGCCTGTTTCAAATTCAAAAGCTTACATAAACCAATGGTGATGTCATAGTTTTGCTGGCTTCTGATTGGGTAAACGAGGCGAGTTGAATGGAATCGTAAAGGAACTGTGGACCTTCCAAAGTCGGTTCGGGTTCCCAGGAGGTGAGAGTGATAACAGTAAATGTAACGAAGCAAGAGAAAAGACACAATAACTGATGAGCTGACGGCATGCAGAACTGATGGCAAACAACGCCGACTGCTCGTAATTTTTTTTTTTATTGGGATGAAAATGTGCTCGAGCAACATTTACAGCAACCACAATGGTGGGACGGAAAAGGCCAGCAAAGACACGTCTACGTTGCGACAGGGAGAAACAGAACAGCTGAAATGAAGGACGATGTCTAAAGCAAATGGGCGTAGCGCCGCTTGACTTTAGGAAGGATGCAGAAACGTTGCCGTGAACTGCTCATACGCAGAGGAGATGTTTCTGTTTCCTATTGAGCCTCTTACACTCAAGAGTGACTTCAGAATAAATCCATGGAGACAGTGGAGGCTGCAGTAACGTTCTGGATCAGAAGTGGGAGCCCGCTGCGGAGTTGGTACCTGCTCGGCCGTCTTCCTCCGGCGCCGGGGCGCCGGCCTGCGCCGGGGAGGGGCTGGAGTGGCGCTGGCGCCTCATGAAGGGGAACACGCTACAGGAGGGGGCGAGAGAGGGACGGTTTGACAGGCGAACTCGCTCAGAAACGGAGCAGAAAATGGATGACGGCATGTTGGGAGCTGTTGCAGGTGGAGGAAAGAAAGAGGGTCACATTTCCACCAGACAAAATTAAAAATACCTTGAGTTTTTCTACAAAATTTTCATCCTTTCCAACTACAAAGTTTCTAAGCCAGTTTTTCTTTTTCTTCAGAAAAATTCTGATATTAATGTCGAAATTTCTGTTTTCTCCAGCAAATCCCCCAGTATTCTCCAGAAAATATGACATCAATCTTAAACTCTCTAAGTTCTTTCCTTGCTAATTTTCTGAGGTCCACCTAAAAATTTCATCCTTTTAAGCAAATTTTCAACTTTTCAAACGCAAAAAGATTAATCTCAAAAAGACACGTTTTTGTTTGGGTTTTTTTACAGAAATTTTTGACTTTTTAAACTGAGAATTTCCTTTTTTTTTTTTTGTATACAATTTCTGAGCTTAATTTAAAAATTTCCTATTTTTTTCCGGTGGAAAACTTGCCCTTCTTTCCTCCCCTGATGTGCCGTGGTAGAAACGAGACGGTACCTTTTCTTGGTCTCCTGCGGGACGACGGCTTTAGCCAGCATGTTTTTGTACAGGTCAGACTTCAGGTACCTGGGGTAAGAGTCCTGGACACGTGTTGTTAAAAAATGGGAACACGAAATACTTCATTGATTATCATCTTTTCCAAATTATTTGATAGGTGAAAACTACAAAAAAAAAAAAAAACCTTCTTCATGAGGAAGTAGATATGCATCTGTGCGTCGTCCATGACGAAGCGATGCGGCTGTTTGATCCCCTCTAAGGTTTTATCCATCGTCTTGCTGTCGATGTTGACCCAACGGGCCGCTCCAGGGGCCAGGAAGTTTCTAGACAACCACAAAAAAAGTTAAATAAATAAACCACAAAAAAAGTGTACTGATAAACATTTTGTTTAGATTTTTCAAGATGGCCGCCGTCATGAAAAGTGATTCTTTGCACCATAACAAACAATGAGATGAATGTGTTTTTTTTGCGGACATTTTTCAAAATGGTTGTAATGGAGAATGTGTTTGCAGTAGTTATTGCCAGCAGTGGACATGGCCAACCAAAAAGTTTGCTAAACCGAATCAATCGCTAGGCACATTTGGAAAAATTAGCAGAAGCTAACGCTAACCATTAAGACCAGTCTGTGTCGCATCACCCTCATCTCCTCCCAGTTGACGTCTGATGTGACCCTCGCAAAAAAGCAAAGTCCTCAGTTTCAGTTTTGGCGCCTGGTTTGGCCTCATCCTGTCGCTTCAAAGTTGTAGAGACGGCGGCCATCTTTGAAAAAAAAAACTTCTCTCATTCTGAAATTCCTGTGGCTAAGGGGGGGAATTTGGAAAGCAAACGGCCTGAGGAGAGAACATGCAAGTTTTCCTGCTTGTTTCCACAAACTGAAATATTTCTTTGACATTATTCCTATTGGATTAGTTTGTATTTCAGACACTGTGAACATTCAGCAGGTTTGCGTGTGTGTGTGTGTGTGTGTGTGTGCGCGCACTCACTTGTAAACATCCTCCACTTTCTCGATGATCTTGGAACTTTCGCCGTGTCTAATTTCCTCACAGGCCTGCCAGAAGTGCAGGTTCTCCGCTGAGAGTAACCACACAAACACACACACACACACCCACACACACGCACACACACACACACACACGTTGAGGAGCAAAAACAATGACAAAGGAAAGAAAATATATTTATAGCATAAGGAGGTCTCTGAGGAAAATGCTAGCCTTTGGCAATATTTTATACTCTGTCTGCATGGATGAACAAATCTTTTAAGTAGTTTTTCCCTCCAGTTTCCATTTGTGTCCTTTCTTTTCAGGATTTTTCTCCTGCGGATGTTTGCCATCACAATTTGTCTTCTTCACCCACTAATTTCTTATTGTCTGTCATCCTCTAGGTGAACCGGGTGTTGAAGTCGCACTTCTTCGCTTCCTCTGATCGCTCAAACTTAAAAGTCACGCGTAGAGGATTCAACACATTGGTTTCTCTAAGAATCAGCATCAGTGGTACTTGAATGGCATTTGGTACATTCTCACCGCTGAACTCTTTCTCCAGGTACGTCATGAACTCCCGCCGGCCCATGGCGTCGGACAGCAGCTCCATGAAGCTGAAGCTCCAGCGCTCCACGCGGAGACGAGTGGGAATGGGCACCCTGCCGCAAACACAAACACACACACACACACCACAACACACACACACACACACACACACACACACACACACACACATCAAACGGCTCATGGTTGGTCAACATCATTGTTAGTTAGTTAGTACACTTGATCGCTTCTGGAATGCTTGTATCATTGTTTGTTAGTTAATTAGTATGGATGGACAAAATTGATTAATGCCTTGACATTAATCTGCGTCTCAGTTAATCACACTTAATAGTTGTATCAAAGTTAGTTTGTTGATTTAGGTGGACAAGACATTAATAACCGATTAATGTCTTGGTAGAAAGCAACTGATTCACACATCGACGTGACTCAGCTATTTGGTTGATGGTACTTCGTAGCTGCATCAAAAGTCGGTTAGTTAGTGAAGACGGACAACGCAGCTGTCCAAACGTTTATCGCTTTCTGGGATCACTCTCTGTGGTTCCCTGCATCAATATTGGTTATGTAGTCCGTCGGCTGGTTAATACACTGAATAATTTCCACACACTGGTGATTCTTTGTCATCGCACCAGCCGGTTAGAAACCTTGAAATTCACAAAAAATAATGAAAGTTTGTGCAATCAATCAACATTGAACTTATTTCAGGGTTTAGTAGGTATATGTATGTGTGTGTGTGTGTGTATATATATATATATATATATATATATATATATATATATATATATATATATATATATATATATATATATATATATAAATATAAATGAGTTTCTCTGTCAATGTTTT